GATAAATTGTATGAAAAAGAATTAACGCTTCGTTCTGTGGCAGAAACATTTGGAGACATGGTAAGACAAAACAACGGCCGCTCTGTTGGAACAGTTTGTATCTTGCTGCAATATGGAGAAATGGTCTAGGTTCGAATTCCAGACTGAACGTTTAAAAAAATTTTGTGGAGTTTTCAAGACTCTCAACCTAGGCTTTCTGCTTTCTCAAATTGTGAGGCAGCGTGGTGGAATCAGGCTCTCGTCAAAATAATCAAAGTGAAGAAACTTGCATTTTTCCGCAGGTTTTTTAATTTTTATCAAATTTTTGTTTTTGGCTCAACACCTTTCATGGCCAATAAAGAACTCATTTATGTGTGGATTTTTCTGAAAAACGTTGATTAAACGCACAAAAAATGTAAATTTTAAGTTACAAACGACTTTTAAGCTAAAGAAATAACTAAGCTTTGTGGCCATTTTTCCACTAATTTTGCCTCTCTAAATAGATTCCCCCCATCTCCTTCATTCACAAATATCTCAACTTGTATTCAAGATAAATGGGTATTTTTTCATCCAAGTAAAGACAATTGAACAAGCTTTAAGATGATACCAATACCTCAACATGCCCAAAAATTGACGAGAGCCTGATTCCACCACGATGCCTCACAATTTAGGACAGCTTAGCGCTCAATCCTATGCGGAAAGAAGCATGGGAAAATATTGTAACAACGGGCAAGTTCGATGGAAAGAGAGGCAGAGTCAGACAGAGGGAAAAGATACATTTCAAGATGACAACATGGCTGGGAACTGTAAGAACGACAGTCACCATCACTGCAACGCAAGACAGAGTGAAGTGGAGGTTCATGATTGCCCACACCAGTCACCAAGGCACCGGATAATGATGACTCTCAAACCATCTGGCTTTGTCCTTTTGAACACTGACGTAAAGTCCGGAGTTCCCGTCAATTAGATCATCTAAAGAGTGCCAACAGGGTCGTTGAACCCATACCTTATACATAACGCAAGGTATCCACCTCTGTACCACCCTACCACAATATGCTGAAGGCCCAGGAAGTTTGCTCACTAAAAAGACAATCCCCAATGTCCGGCTCGGATGCGGGAACAACTGTTAAGAGTCTACAGATATGAGAAGGAAAATATTGCGCATCTTACGTTTAATATGTGCACAAACGAAACCATGGGCAGTTACCCTATGATGAAGCGAGCAGAAACAGGAAGGAATAACAATTGAAAAAGAAAGAGAAAGCATCAGCACTGAATGACAAAAGTACGTTTCGACTTTATGGATTAATGTCAAAACATATAATTGCAAGCTCTTATCAAAGGTAGCAGCCGTCGAGTATTGCTGCCTTTCTACTGGGACGCTGTATTCGGATTGGCCCTGAAAGGCAGGTTCGAAGCCCGCCTCTTAAATGATGTAAATTATGTTGACGGGAACGTAAAACACCTAAATTGTTAAAAGATGGTAGACCCCTTGCCTTTATGCAATAATAGCAAGGCGTGGTTACAGTAATTGATACAATAGCAAGAGTTTAACTATCATAATCCTTCTTTTCTGCCTTTTAATTAACCCTTCTTTCTGTTAACTGAAAAGCTTGACAGTAAGTGGGTTGTTCTTTTTTCTTAATCATGATAGCGGATGTTTGGAGGGAGCCACTGGTATGTTCTACTTCTTCACTCTCCCAGTGCAGTTTCTGTCGATCTGTCTTAGTTTTTCCCCAGCACTAAATGACGACCATTATTGTGTCGATGTGCCACTCTTTTCTCAAACGAACAAGTCATGTTATTTCCGCATAGAACATGTAGCCTCAAACATAGAGTAAGCCTATACCACTCTGACTACGATCAATGTAAACCAGTTGTGCACAACGGAATAACCAACACTCAACTACCCCTTGATCTCGCGAGAAGAAACGTGAAGGAAAAAAAAGAGTAAAAATAATTACGATATATCTCGCGGTAATTTAAAACAAAACCCCAGAAGAAATGATCATGTGAGCCAACTTCAAATTGTCGACATCAAAGATCGAGAAACAAAGTGAATTGCTCTAAAAGGGGAAATTATTTATACAATTACACGTTTTTTTTTTTTTTGGGGGGGGGGGGTATAATATTAAGCTACGATAAACTAAAGTTTATAAAGTAACTTTAGTTGTTGTTGTTTTTTTACTACTGCTGTAAGTAAAAACACATGGAAGGGACACGTTATGGTTAATGTCACGGGCGTTTAAATCACAATTGTTAGAAATTATTTTCCATCCACAACTATATTATTTTAAAAAATTACATTTTAGATTTAAAAAAAAAAAATGTTGTCTCTTGCTAGCCCGGAAACGTATAAAGGAGGTTTGAATTTTGATTCATTTTTCTATTTTTTAAAATACTCAGTGAACCTGATGGGATGGTATTTAGCTGCTTTTACTGTTTGTCTTCTATTTTAACTGTAAACATGTGAATTATTGACGAATTAGAAATTACTTTTAATTCCAATGTTGGTAATATCGCAGGTAGAATTCAGTGAACTATAAGTTGTACCCACTGCTCCAGATTAATACTCTGCATCGCTTCAGTTTTGGGCAAGAGAAGGGGAAGAATTAGAGAAGAAGTTTGAAGGATTGTAAAATACAGTAAGAGATTTAGGAGCAATGTTTCTAAGCAAGGCAGAAATAGATAAGTAAGACTTTCCAACCAAGGAAGAGAAAATAAGTAATTCTCATCAAAGCACAAACAAGCCCTTTTAATCAAGCTAGACATAGATATTTCTTACCACGGCAAAAGTATAAGCCCTTCAAATCGAGGTAGCATAAATCCTTTCTAATCACGGCACAGATAAACCAGCAAAATGCATTTAAAAAATGTAGTACGAGTTTAGCCTCCATCCATAAACGTACAAGAGACGCAATTTATTTCATCCCCGGTGAAAAATTTGTCACCGCCGGGGAACACAGCCCGCCTTGTGGTAGCTGCGAGCACGTCACGTCTTTTCTCTATCACCGGTGGAAAAAAATAATTGTCATCAACGATAGGGGAATTAATTAATCGTCTCCGGAGGATTTATCATCAACGATTGGGGAATTAATTAATCGTCTCCGGTGGATTTATCATCAACGATAGGGGAATTAATTTATCCTGATTGGAGAATTTGTCATCGACGAGAGAGTAGAAAAAATGAATGTGACAAGTCACGATGACCCATCTGACGTCACCAGACCTGTTCTACCAGTCTCGCTGCTGCAGATGCTACAACACATCGTGGTGGTCTACGTCGGGAACCCGCTCACCCTCGCCGGAAGTGTGGCCAACGTCATCAACATCGTGGTCATCTGCAGACTGGACCACAGGCAGACGGTCAACATCAGCCTGCTGGCTATGGCGATATCGGACCTGGTGGTGGCGGTGTGCACGCTGTGGCTGTGTATCTCTCACTCCCCGCTTCTGTACTTCATCCCAGATCTACCCTTCATACCCCAAGAGATCAGCCTTCCTACTGGTAGTTGGGTTCACGTGACCTTTTCCAGAATCACAGCCTACCTGACTTTGCTGATATCCGCAGAGCGTTGTTTGTGTATCTTACTGCCAATGAAGGTAAAAAATCTGGTGACTATTGCAAGAGTTAAAGCAATTATAGTCGTCATCTTTATCTGGGGTGTCGGTAGCCAGGTTCCAATTCTGGCCACGAACCGATTCGTGTGGAAATTTATCCCGGCGAGGAACCGATCTCTGCTGGGTCTCATCAAAATCGACAGCAGTGACGACGTGCAAGTTGTTGTTCACATGCTCACCACCATCGCCAGCCAGTTCGTCGTTTTTTTCGGCGTGGTCGTCTGCACGACCATTCTCGTCCTCAAACTCAGACAGCAAGCAAAATGGCGGCAGTCGTCCAGCAGCACGGAAGCCTCAGACATCGCCTCCAAACGCGACGCGAGAGTTTCCACAACGGTCACCGTCATCTCTGCCATCTTTGTCGTCTGCTACTTTCCAAACACGATCAACTTCGTCTGTGTGACCACCGTCCCAGGGTACAATTTGTTCCAACGATATCACGCGCTGCTTGTTCTCGTGAGCGCTTGTACCTTCCTGCTAGAGGCTTTCAACTCCTCCATCAACATCGTCGTCTACTACAAGTTCAGTTCTCAGTACAGGCGACAGTTCAGACGTTTGTTCGGCTCTTGCTTCAGACTCGTCAGTCCTCGAGAGACACAGCAGGAACAAAAGACAGCGGTATAAACTTTTTACAGTTCTAAAAAAAGATTGGTGTGCTCAGCTCTTCTGTACGGCTGTGAATGCTGGATAATCGTTAATTTAAGACCACAAATTATCTGTTCCCTATCGTACAGTCCAGATCTGGACACCAACGGCGAAACTTTGACAAATTAACGTTGGTTGCAGTATTTATTATGACCGAATCGTGTTGCAAATGCCGTAAAACTCCTACTAAACTGAATTAATGTTGGTTGTTGTTTTTGTTGTTGTTGTTGTTGTTGTTGTTCTTCTTCTTCTTCTTCTTCTTC